CTCCTCGGCGCCCGGCCGTGCGGCCCTCGCTCCGGGCAGCGTCCAGGGTCTTCCGGCCCGGGAGAGGGAGTGAGTGTCCCCCAGCCGTCGCCCTCCCTCCCGGAGCCCCCTCGGCGCCGCCGGCCGGTGCGCGCCCTGCGCCGCGCCCGAGCTTGGACTTTGTCGGAAGCGGGAGCCCGGGCGCTGCGCCCACACGAGCGCCGAGTCGAGGCAGGGGCGCGGGCGGGGCGGCACGGGCTTGGGCCCGGCCCAGGGGCAGAGAGAGGGAAGCCACAGGCCCACACACGCTGGGACTCAGGGGCCAGCACAGTCCACGAACCACACAGACACACACCCCGTCTCACAGCCAGCTCAAGGGCGAGCGCGCACAGCACACGCCGACAAACACTGAGATCAACAAAAGTCACACATACAGCCCCAAACGACACACATGCGACACTCACAGAGCCTAGACATATGGACGTATATGTGACCGTAGTACACGTTCGCCAACCAGCACATGCGTGATTGCGCCCTGCCAATAGACATGACTCAGAGAGACACAAACCTACTTGCACCCACTCAGCAGCTTAGGGGGGTTCAGCCCTAAGTCAACCCATCCCAGTGGTGACCCTCGGGAGAGCACCAGGCCTTGGGAGGAGAACCTGCCTGGTCTCACCAGCAGGCACAGCAGCAGCTATACACACAGCCACCCAGAGTTCAGTACCTCTGCCTGGACTAAGGTTGAAGGGGGTCTGAAAGGTGGGGAATACTGGCTGCTTGTTTAGCTGAGGGATCCAGCCCAAATCCAAGAGCCTGAGGCCCAGAAATGAGCATCAGCCCTAGACAACCCTCTGTGAATCAGCCAGAAGCCAGCAGTGCACCAAGAAAATGGCACTATGTGAGAGTATAAAGCAGGCGTGCGATGTGGATGCCACATGTGACACACACAGTGCTGTTGTTTGGCCAGGTGCCCGCATGGAGACCATTATTTTTGTGAAAACGAGCAGAGGAGAAGTATATGGCTCTAGGAATAAAAGTCACATAAGTGTACAAATATAGGTACCAATACACACCGAGGGAGATGGAAAGAAGAGACTCTCAAGCTCGCGGGCATTGTTATCAAGCTGGCATGCTAGCCAGAGCCTCTGAGCGAGGAGGTCTGGTCTCCTTCCAGGGCGGACATGATGGTGAAGGTTTGGTGCCGTGGGAGCTCTATGGCTGGTTTGTGGGAGAACTATATGTATCTGATATATTATCAAGTCATCAAAAGGGGATATTTTGGCAGCTTTAGGGGGGAACTCTGGGGTAAAAAACTATCTGGACTGCACCCCAGAAGTCCTGGGTCTAGAAGGCGCCCTCCGCTGTAGCAGCACAAGTGGTGGCCAGACATGCCTGGCCGATGGTGGAGCCTGACTGCAGGCAGCTGTCGGTACACGCAGACCATGCTGGAGAAAAACACAAACCTGTTCATGCCTTACATGGACCTGCTCCACACAGACAGCTCCTGACAGCCACACAGGGCAAGAGGCAGGCAAGTGTGGTTACAGATGTCCAATTGGATTGCTAGGGAGATTAATTCTGTAGGAAAGAAAATTAAATAGATATTTACGTGCACATAGCTCCATTATTGTACAGGAGAGCCACAGAGTGGGAAAGTGTATAGCTCAAAAGAGAAATGCCGGCGAGTCCCCATCGTAGAATGCCAGCTGCTGGAGATGAGTCTCTATGGGGCAGCCCCAGGAGGGGGTCGATCCATTGTCCAAATGACTCCAGATGCATGCAGAGGGATGTGCCTGGTAAAGCTGCAAATCTACTCACTAATTTCTGGGCTGAGCCTCAGGGAGAAACGGGCAGAAGTGAGGGCCACAATCCGGATTTCTAACGTGGAATAAAGACTGGGAAGCTTGGCCCCCGGGGCTGGCCGGCTGTCAGTCTCTGGGTCTGCCCTGTCTTTGACTGGGTTTCTGGTGCCTCTCCTCGCGTTTCTCTTTCACTCTTGTGGGTCTTGTTCGCTGTCTCTCTCTCCATTTCTCTCTCTGCTCGGTTTGTCTGTCTTTCTCTCACTGCCTCCTCAGCTCTTTTACTATTCTGTGCCATATAGCCACAAAGAAGCCCAGCCAGATCCAGGAGCAGATATAAATACAAATGCGTATCATAGACGCAGAGGTCATCGGTGATAAGCGCATCCACCTTGCTGGTCTATATATATTTATGCGACAGCACATTTTCATTTTTGTGTAAAAATCGAAGTACAGCTTTGAAATTTTGTTCCCTTTCAGTCTTTTGGCTGCTGTCTCTTTGAGTGTCTGTCTCTGTATCCCTTTCTCTCGGGGACTTCCCCTTTCTCATGCCACTCAAGAGCAAGCGTTTTGGCTCTTGGAGTCTGCCAGTTTGGGTTATCCTCCCTCCCCCCATTATTGCCTTCTTTGAAGTTTGCCTCAGGTGGGCAAAGGTTTTTCTGAGACAGACATAGCTAGATAGTCCAGGGGGTACCAGGAGAGAGACATTTGAAACCTGACGGAGGTGCAAGTATCTCTGGGGTCATAAAAGGGCTTTGGAGCAGTCAAGCAGAGGTACTCCCTAAATCCCCCTGGGGGCTGGAGCCCTCTTCCGAGTGGAGCAGAAGAAAGGACGTGGGTGAGGCTCTGACATCCCAGTTGCTCATTCCATGGCTGCAAAGGCCAGCAGAATCCCACCCAGCCAGGCAGGGGAAGGGGCACCCAACTCAGTGGGGCAAGTCCTGCTAACAATATGAAGAAAAAGCAATAAAAACTGTCAAGGTCCCACTTCCCAACTGCAGATCTAGTATAGATAACATCTGAGTAAGAGAAGGATAGAGTATGAAAAGGGAGGTAATGATGCGACTGACTCCTTAGAGACCCAGGCACCCCTAGCTTTAGAGGCAAAACTGAAGGGACAGTGGTAGCACAGCTGGGGAGGGAAGAGGAGGGGCTCCCAGCTCAGTCCTGGTGGAGAAAGGAGGGTCTCAGACTTTGTGCATGCGGTTTGTGCTCATCATGTTGTGATTGGAACGAAGGATGAACCAAAAGCCTCTGCCTGGGTCCCTGGACCATTTGCTAGGTGGTGGAAAGAGGGGAAAAGGACTTGGTAATGTGAGATGGGCTCTGGAGTCAGTCGCGGGTGGGGAAGCTTGGGCCCCCAAGCTGCCCCAAGCCGGGGTGAACCTGGAGAGCTCATCCTGCCTCCAGATAAACAGATCTTTGTTTTCTCTCCAGATCTGGATTCTTTGTGCCTCTTTCCGTGTGAGTTTGCGCCTCCGTCTTTGGCTTCTCCACTCCCTTCAACTGTGGCTCTATCCCCCTCCATCTCTGTCATTGCTTCACAGCTTTTCTGACTTCATCTGTCTCTGTTCTCAGGTCTCTGTCTCTCCCCCATTCCTCCTCAACTCACCCCCACCCCCGTTTGTTAATTCAAAGGCTTCTCACTGAGCCCCTCCCCGTTCTTCCCAGAATAACATTGAGTAAAATGAGATAAAGCCGCCTGTAGGTTTTTTCCCTATCCTACTCCCCTCAGCCCCCTCCTCCAGGGCTACAACCCCCTCTTATAATGTCAGATAATTGCTGGTGTGCAGCTCGGAGAAGCCAGGGCTGATACCAGGGAAGGAGAGGAGGGGAGAGAAATAAATAATAATCTGCCTCCATTCAGCGTATATAGGTTACCTGATTTGCATATATGCTAATAATGCTATAATTACCCTGCTGTTCTGGCCTATGATCAAGTTCTATAAATACATAGGACAGCAGAGCTAGGCCTAGCAACACAACCCCCAAAATTATAAAGTATACGTATGTGTATGTGTGCATTTATGTGTACCCTAACTCTATGAGCCTCTCTTTGTTATAACACTCCCTTACACATGCTAGCTCTTCTGGCTTTCAGCTACCCCTCCTATTTTTGAGGCAACTCCAAGGGAGGAGGAAAGGGATGCCTTAATGAGAAAATATTCTAGGGTATATTTAATTTTTAGCATTAATATCATTATGAATGTTATTGCTATTTTTAGGAAAATCAAAGCTTTCCCCAAATTATTGAATTAGTTATTATCACCTGAATGCCCCCATCTCTTACTCCCCCCCCCCCAGCTCTGGGATACAGATTTGTGGACAGGAAGAGGACACCTCCTTGTCCTCTGCGTCCTAGGCCTGTTGAGATGTTTAAGGAAGTGTCATCTATGGGACAGGAAGTGGAGTCCTCTTCCCCAAATTTGACCCAGGCCTTCCTCTCCCAGCACACTCCCCGCTCTCAGGAAACCAGGGGGAAGATGCTCATGGAGTTGTGCAGACTTTTGGGTGATGGTGGCAGAAATGGGGAGGAAGCTTGGAGGAACATAGAAAAGATGCAATCCACAGCTGTCTGCTTTTAATTATAATTATCCCCTTTCACTTCCTTTCTGGCTAATGAAGGGGGGATTAAATTTTTTCTCTATTTTCTCCCCCTCCCTCCTTTCCCTGGAATTGAGGGGTGGAGTGAGTTCAGGGTCCTCCTCCCCTTCCTCCCCAATCCCCCGGTTACTGGGAGAAAGGCAGACTCCAGTGGGTGGTGACAGTATGAAGAGATTTGTAGGAACAAAGGAAGGACAGGTTTGGATTGCTGGACACGTCCCAGAGCTGGAGAGACCCCCCCTCCATTCCACTGGCACCCCCTCCCGTCAACCCCCCAGCTCCCCAGACAAGGAACTCAATGTCTTCCAGCCGGTGAGAAAGGAGCTAAAGGGAGCCCTGGTCTAGAGGGAAGGAGGAGGGAAGGGGTGGGGAGCTGGGGGTGGGGGTTGCAAAATTAGTCTCAAAGGATCTTTATTTCTGAGCTAGTGAAGCAGATGTAATCAAGGGGAGAGCAAAATAATCATCATGGGAGGAATGAGGGGAGGGGGAAGCTGAGGCTGGAATGGGGGGACTGGGCCAGGACAGGGCGGAGAATTGGGGGGCAGGGAACCTTGAGTGGGGGCAGTCTGTTGCCTTCTCTCACCTCCCCAAAGTCTCCCTGCTATGGGGTGGGAAAGAAGGACCAGGTCTGCAGACTCTGACGCTAGCCCTCCCTCGGAATCCCTCTTGCAGAGTTTAGGGATGGCCTGGCCAGAAGGTGGCTGGGAAGGCACCAGGGAGAAGAGAGCCCCCGCCTCAGCTGAGGGAGGTAGGGAGGAGAGACTGAAAGCAGTGGGGGAGGGTGAGAGAGGGAGCCGGCAGAGACTCAAGTGGCCTCCAGGTCTGTGGGACAAAAGTTGCAGGGAGATTTGTGTATGAGAGGAGGGGAGGGGGGCCTTGGGGAAGGGGGGGGCTTTGACAATGAACTTGAGACAAACTTCATTAGCATGCAGGCCTGCTGTCTGTCACGTCGAGCTCAGACTGAGTTCCCATGCAGGCCAGGAAGAGTGGGAGGGAGAAAAAGGGAGGGGCCGAGGGTGGGGGTGAGAGAGAGAAAAGAGACCGGACCATTGTACCATTCTGAGCCCCAGCTTCCACCAAATATCGGGACCCCAGCCCTGGAAACCAACCCCCAAATCGCTCTGCCTCCTCTAAGAGCAAGATAATTTATCTCCCACTTTGAGTCTGTGGTCCCACCCCTCCTCTTCTCTTGTCTAGACTTTCAAGCACTGGCCTTCACCGCCCCCCACCTGGCCCCCCCCCCCCCCCCCAGCTCTCAGCCCTCATCTTCAATTGTTACTTTCTCCTGCATGACTAAGACCTGGATTTGTGAACAGTTGAGCTGACAGGGACAGGGAGTGGGGGAAGGTCTGGGAAGGGGGGACTGGAACACCCTGAACCTCCAAATGGCAAACTGTGTGCTCTTTCTATCACTCCTCTCGACTCCACTCCCCACCCCAGACACACACGGCATGTAATCCCGCTCTCCAGTTCGAAGGTGAATCAGACTGGAGGAGACTGGGGACAGGGGTATTTCTGTCACACCCTTTCTCTTGCTTCCTCGGGGGATGAGGGTGGCCTGGAGGAACAATAGCTTTCCTTCGCCCCTTCCTCCTGCCTCAGGTTGGAGAAGGCAGGAGGAGGCGGTGGAAAACAGTGGAGACGACAAAGACCCCTTCCCACACAGGCATTAGAAGGCAGGAGGAGGAGGCTTCATCAGAGTGGGCTGTTATTTTGGTGGTGGTGGTGTCTCCAGACAGGGGCAGCACCCCCTTTTTGCTGCCTTTCCAGGGAGAACAGCAAGAGAAAGAAAGAGAGAGGCAAGCGAAATTCCTGAATGGATAGACAGATGCTACGTCATCGGAGCTGCATCCTCCACTCCACAAGAGGCTAGGAGCCGGGAGAGAGAGGCAGTCCAGCAGCAGGGGCCACCGAGCAGTCTCTCTTCCTCCCAGAAGCCAGGTAAGTGGCCATTCGGGAGGGTCTCAGCCCCCTCAAACATCTGGGCTGGGGGTGGGAGGGGATCCCCTAAAATCAGTCAAGGCGCCCTAACCTTCCTACTTTGCCCACTGGCTAATGGAGGCGGGTACAATCATCTCAGAAAGGAAAGGCTGATAAAAGATTTAAGGGGTGACCAAAAGGGATGAGGCGTGTGTGGAAGAGTAGCTGGCAGAGTGGGGTTTCACCTCCTGCTTCCAGGCATCCATCCCGGCAGGGCAGCGAGCTGAGGCAGCGGCCCTGCTCAGCCGCCCCAGAGCGCCTCTCGGTCCCCCTCCTTCCCCCAGCCCCGGCCAACCCGGAGACAGCTCACTAAGTTTGTCAATGGGATTCAGGGGGGCTTTAGGGTCACGGTGCTACTGATCCTATTAATCCGCCCCTCCCTTCTCTCCACCAGACACGGACAACATCTTAATGCTTGTACCAGAGAGGCAGGAAGGAAGGCTGTAGTAGAGATGGGAGGGGAGAGAAAAAATGGTTCTGTATTTGGAGTCCTGACCTTTCTTCGCTCTGGCTCTTCTTCTTCTCTGCCCCAGAGACTTGGGTTATAGGGGAGGACAAAGTCTGAGGAACTGGGGGGTAGGGGTAAAAGAGCCACATTTCCAAGAAGGTGGAGGCCAGAATTAGGGAAAAATCCAAAAACATTTTATAGGATTTAGATTAATTTCATTCTCCTTCTTCCTCGCTTTTCCCTTGAGCTGGCAGGTGGGAAGGGGGCTGAGGGCAGCTTGAAGGCAAGTGAAGGGCAGACACTTAGGCTCTCAAAGGGGAGAGACCCCTACTCAAGCTCTCTTCAGACTCACCTGGTGATGGTTTTTTAATTTCTTGTTTTTAAAGAAGGGCCAGCGGATATAGAAAGAAGGAGCTCTTCTCGCCTCCAGTCCCCACCCACAGGGTGCTTTCTTGGAGACAGGCTGGAACCATCGTGGGGTAGTGGAGGCTGGAGGCCAGTAGACTATTTCTGGTATCCCAGAGGCCAGATTTCTGGGAGAGGCTGAGGCTGCCAACCACCAAACATGCACACACATGTTCCATGCCTCCTGGGCCCTGGTCCTTGTCACCACGTCCCCCTGGGCATTGTGTGTGTGTGTGGAGGGGGTGACAGGGCAGATATCAGTATGGAGAGGTGCGATTGTTCCTGGGACCCCACGACTCTTTGATTAGAGTGGAAGAAGGAGCCACAGGCTCCCCAACTGTCCTTGTGCCTGTTTTCCAGCAAGTCAGCAAGCTGGGGGAGGGGTGGCCTCCTCTTTGGTTTGAAGATAACAATTTCAGACTCAGACATCCCTTTACGAAACGGATGGGCTGGCAGAGCTGAGGCTGGGAGTCAAGTGGGTACTTGCGGGTGTTAGAAGTGAGAGGGTGCATTGAGAGCACCCCTCCTAGAAATCAGGCTTGGAGTTAAGGCTTATCCCTGGTTTCCAGCCCTCCTTTTTTCTGATTTCCTCTGCATTTAGGTGGGTTATCTTTCTGACTTTAAAAAAAAAGAAGAAAAAGAAGAAGGATTAGTTGTGGAATTGAGTTTGAGGTAGAAAGAGTCACCAACTTACCCCAACACACAAACACACACACATAAATACACTCCTCTTAGTATTTCGGGAGCTGGGTCACCTATGGTATACATGTCATTCCCCCAAATCCTAATTTAACCTGAAAGCAAAATACTGGGAAGGAGGGACTATAAAATATAGAGACTGTGTTCCATACCCAACATTAAAATTTTTAAAAACTCAACTGCTTTGTATTCACACCTTTTGTGTATGTGAGAAACAGAAGGAGAGGAAGAGAGGGAGAAAATTGATAGCTACAGGATATGTTTTTATGGATCCTTAGTGATATGCATGGATAGGTGATAGGTGGATGGGTATTGACCGAGATGAGGGGAGAAAGATAGAGATAGAGACACAATATGATTGAGAATATCTTGAATATGCATGGAACTTTACAGTTTAGAATGCAGTTAGATCCAGACAGACAAAATATATCCCTGACCACAGGTCCTTGGTTCTATCCTGAGCATGCTTTCTGGTAGACCACGAGCCGAAATCTGCAGGGAGATAGTGTCCATCGGGCAGGGGATTCCTTCTGAAGGTTTAAGTCAGAAAGGCCACAGCATCTCCACAGGCTCAGTTCAAACTCCTGGGCCCTAAGGCTTTGGATGGAGGTGGAGGGAGGTTGTGAGCATGGGTTGGAGTCATCCAGGCAAGATGGAGCAGGGGCCCTGCCAAACATAAGACTAGGAGAAAAGGAGCTGGTGAGGGAGTGACAGGGAGACTAGGGGTGTTAGGGAGAGAAGGCTGGACCACTCAAAGGACTTTAACCTTTGCATTCTCCTCCTTGACAGGAGCTGGGCATCCAGGAAGAAGCAGCCTCCTTTGTTTCTGGTGTCATCGTAGGTGGCCACCTTTGGCTTTTGGGGTATTTATGTTCTTATTTGTTTGTTTTGATGGTGGTGTGGGTGGGGGAGGAAAAGGAAAGCTGGCCCTCTACCACCTGTGTTTTCTCCTGTTCTCTACACCTTTCTACCCCGTTCCCCGTCTCTTCTAGCTTTCAGCCCCTGATTTTGGTCTACACTGATTGTAGTAAGACCTGCATAGTCATTGATAATGGGAATGCAACAAGGTGGCTAAGGTATGAAAGGCCACCCTGTGCTCAATTCTGTAAGATGGGAGAGGTGTTGACGATTCAGAGACTTCTTCCCCTGCTCTCAGAGGCTGCTAAGGACAGAGCTGGAGGCCAGTTGACCCTGGGGGAAGTGGTTGTTGCAGAAGGGAGCAGAGATATCTGTACATGGGTGACAGAAGTGAGAAAGGAGAGAAGCATGGGGACCTGAGGAGCTTCAACAACTGAGTGGGTGTGTGTGCCAGGGTGTGTACCTGTAAGCATTGGGCAGTGGTATTGCTGGCAGTATCTGTGGCTATGTCATTGCATTTGCCTCAGTCGATAGGTTTGTGTGCGTATGTGCATGCCTGTGTGTATGCACAGCACTCTAACACACTCATGCTTTTGCGCCTCAAGAGTGTTGATGGTAGAGTGTTGGCCATTTGCTGATGGCCAGCACTCTACCATCTCTGTCACCTTTTTCTCACCTCCCTGACTCCATAGGGCTCTCAGGCAAGTGAGCTGCATGTGGGTTCAAGGACAGAATCGGGAGCAGGCAGGGGAGGCAGTGCTGAGACAGGCCTGAGGAACTCTCAGGCTGGCCTCCCAATAGGAGAAAAAACAGCCTTGTGGGAGGGAAGGTGGTGGTACCCCCAGGGGTAAAATCTTCCAGATTATGTCTCCATGCCCGCTAACCTCATCCGCCCATATGGAGATATATATATATTTTTTCACAGCTTCAGCAATTTTTTTTACTGCCAATTCTTGCTTCTGTTTGTCACTATCCCATAGACAATGCAAATATTCTATAGCAAGAGAATAATATATGATAATGTTCATAATAATGATGCACTTATAAGACAGAAATAAATACCTGAACCCACCCTCCTCCAATTGCAGCTTTCATCTGTGTCTTCAAGGTAAATTAACCTGATGACTGAAACAAAGAAAAAATATCCTTTTTATTTAATTACTTGAATATTTCAAGAGAGTGGCTTAATGCCAAAATGTATTTTGGGACCCAAATTACAAAGATCTGTCCAAAAGCCGCATCCAGAGAGCATAATTCAGGCCATGTTTTTCTCTCCATGGGCCTCTCCAGGCACACAGACAATGGGTGGGCATCAGGACTGTAGGGCTGGGGGTGGGGACAGGCGCTGGCAAGAATGCAGGCTCCTAGGCTAACCGAGACACTTACAGACCCAGATCAGCACCTGGGGTTTGGTGTGCTCTCCCCACAGTCTCCCCAGAATTTCCCTGGGAGGACTCAGGGTGGGGTCTGCAGACCATTGCTCTACAGAACACTGCAGCGGAGTGTGCTGTGTGCTGCAAGCAGAAGGCTCTGCTCTAGCCGAGGTCGTCCTAGGGAGACTGAGGCTGGTGGGCCAAGCACAAGGGGAACCTAATGCATCCATTTTATCCAACTCTAGACAGTAGAAGGGTATCTTCTAGTCAAAGGAATTGCCAAATAGTCACTAACACACAACACCATAGGTACAACGTCCCCTCCCTCACACACACCCCCATATACAGATCCCACAAGACACACATTTTACCAATACCCTCCCTCTCTGTCCATAATGTGTTCAACCTGCATGACGGCAAAGTCAGACTTGCAGACACACTCATAGGTACACACATACCCTCGTTAAGTCATCAATTACAGGGCACCCACCATGTTTTAAGCATAGTGTTAGATACCAAAGACTCAAATATGTATGAAATTGCCTCTGCTCTTAAGGGAGTGTCTCATTTGCTGCCCTCAAAGTAATTTCTTTTTTGAAACTAGAGCAAAATGGCTTGGTATACAAATCAACCTCAGTTAACATGATGGTGGGGTTTTCTGCTTCTTTCACAGCTTATAGCTCCATCTCCATTGGAATAAAGACAGGTGCCTCACCCACCTTCATCCCTGAGCAGAACACTGGGAGACTGGGGTGTCAAGTCCACCCAGAAAAAACAAACAAAAATTACATCATCAGGAATCTGGACAGAGAAGGGGCTTCCATGGAGATAGCGCCAGGGCAGCTTAGACTCATCTCCATTTTCTTTTAGGGGACACTGTTTAGGCTGAAGTGTCTCTGTAGAACCCAAAGCCACAGTAAGACGCAGGGGGATCCAGCTCTTTATCTATTTGGGGAAATTTATGTATGAACCCATTTCTCTCCTGACCTTGTTTTTTGAGGAAATCCAGTTGAGTCTGAATATGGCCAGTGGAGGGGTGGGGGGTGGTGAGGGGCAAAGAAACCTTTCTGTCTTCCCCCCCCTCAACCAAAATATAGAGGGGGCTGAAGGAGAAGGGAGATTCGTGCTAATCCCAGCTGCCTCTTCCTAGCTGTCTGGATGGCGCAGGCCAGGGTAAGTGGGTGTGGAGATGAGTTTGAGCCCCACAGAGGGCAGGGGACTTGGTTGGAAATTGGTGACAGAGAAGAAAGGGGAGAGTGTTAGCTAGCAGGACGATCAGCTCTTCCCCACAAGCTGGCCCCAGCCTCCCAGGCACTAGGTAAGGGGAGGAAGGAAGGGGGAAAAGGTCTGCTTAAGGTGCCTTTAAGGGATCTTGTGGCGGGCAAATGGGGAGATATTTGTAGGGGAAGTTGGTGGTGTGTGTAGGAGAAGTGTAGGCTCTATCTAGGATTGCTGGAATGTCTAGAGGATATTGGGCATCCTATAAAGAAGTGTGAAGTGGTGTGCTGAGAAATATTTAAGGAGGTTTGTAGGCACGAAGAGGAAAGGCTGGAGGGGACCTGTAGTTTCTCTGGGGCCTCGGTACAGGGATGCATTTAGGGCATGCATTTAGTAGCACAGCCAGTAGGATGGGTCTATCTCTGAGAGTGTTCGGGGAGGGTTCCGCTTTTCTGCAAGTGTCCTGGCGATAGGGACCCCAGTGCTCCCCCAAGGCTCTATTCTGAGCTGTAGGGGCACCTGGGAGGGGGCAGGAGGAAACAAAGCAGTGAGTGGACACTTTGTCTCTTTCCTTCTCTCACCACCATTGTTGGCTGATATGTTCCCAGTTCTGGGAGGAGGAAGAATTGATGCTGTGGAAGCTTCTAGAAAGCCTTTCCCTTGAGTAAGTTCCCTGAGACCCTGTGGAGGCTGACAGAAAAAAGCTGTGCCAAGCACAGCCTTGAGAATGCCCTGAGCCCCGGGGAAATCAGGCTGTTCGCTTCAGCTCCATACCGCTATTCTGGTAGGGAACCACAGGTCCCTGGGCTTTATCTTATTTCAAAGTGGCCCTCACCCCGCAATCATGCAGCGATTGATTATTCAGACATTCTCCAGTCTTTCAAAAGGGGACCAAATGAAACCCACTGGCCATCCGCTTGTGTCTAACCAAGGCGAATAGCATTCAGGCTCAGCTTTGTCCTAGACTGTGCAGAGGCGGGACCCTGGGGCGGATGAAACAATCTGGCTGAGTCTGATGGCCAAAGCCGGGGTCCCCTGAAGTGCACCCCTGCTGGCATAGTGTTAAGGATTCTTGGTGATAGGAGCGGGCCCATGTTAAGCAGACGACAGGTTCCAGGTATCTAATTCACAGGATTTCTTAGAAAAGGCACGGACGGCAGGGTGAATGGAGCGGTAGGGTACCTTGGGACGTGAATTCGAACTGCTCCCTGGCAGGCAGAGATGCTCAGCTGGAAGCCGGCAGCTCGCTCTCAGAGTGCAGCGAGAATCCAGGTCCCGCCTGCGGACCGGCGTGTGCCGCCCGCGGTTGGGACGAGGCCTTATTCGGCTCTGATTCTCCGGGCCAGATGGGGAGCCAGGTCGGGAAAGCCCGGAGCCTGAAACCTTGCTGGAGAGTGATCCTTCTCGCCGTGACCCCAGCTCTCCAAGCACCCAGAGATGCAACAGGGGTGGAGTCCGCAGGGCTCTCCGTTGGAGGCGAACGGGATAGGGAAAGAGAGAGAAGATGCTAGCTAGGGCCTCCATGGCTATGTCAAATCTGTGGGTGTTGCCCAGGTTAATGCCAGCTGGAATCCTCCAGCTTCCCCAACCGGGAACTTTGGTGCTGAGAACAAATTCAAGAGATATTCCCGTTTCTGCACGGCGAAAAAGGAGGCCCAACCTCGCTCAGATCCCGCGTCTCTCCCAGTAAGAGTCCCAAACTTCCAGAACCTTACCCTCGCTGTTTGGGGTTGAAAACCAGCAAGACACGTTCCTGTCTTCCTGAAAGATTAGGATCACAGTCTGGGAGGGATCAGAACCCGAGAAGCACAAAAAATATCCCAACGAGAGGAGGCAGGTAGAGGTAGTAATCTGGTTCTTTTTGAGATTTCACCCGATCTCTTTTTTCGTCTTTGAGCCCTGGACCCGGTGCAATATACCTAGGGCCAAAATGGAAAACGTAGGACCTACAAAAAGAGTGAGGTTGGAGACCAAACCACAAATGGCAATGGATTGGAGATGGCAGGCGGGTATCAGGGGTGGGTGAGGCTGCAAGACGCTGGGGATCAGCAGACATAGTAGTTCTTCCCCCCTCCCCCCAATTCTCCGAGAGGAGGGGCGCCCCACTTGCGCGCTCCGGCTCAACTGGAGAAGGGGGAGGGGCGGGGTCGACGGGGGAACGAGGCGGTGACGTCAGACTCGGCTGAGCCAATCAGAGGCTGGCCTGGGGAGGGAGCGTGAAAGGATGAATGAAAAGTCCGGAGCCGGAGCGCGCCCGGGCCAGAGCAGCGGCGGAGGCTGAGGAGGGAGCTAGCCGGTTGAGGCCCGCTCTGCCCTGCTAGCCTTGGCTCGCGGAGGCTGAGATCCCGGCGGGCGCCTCCGCCCAGCGCCCGCTGAGCCCTGGCACCCCGGACCCAGGGTCACGGCGCACCGTGGGCGGGAATGTGCCGGGAGGACCGCACGGGAGAGCACGGATGGGCACCCTGGGCTCGATGTAAGTGGCTTGGCCCGCGCGGGGCAGGAGATGGGCGAGCGCCTTGGAACCCAGCGTGTCTGAATGTCCGCCACAAGGGGCCGGCTGAGCCCCACACCCTCCTCCGGGCTCCCGGGACCACCTTGACGATTCCCAGTCCTGATCGGAACCCCCGCCAACCCCTAGGGCACGTCTCGCCTCGGACCCCCGGCCATTTTCACAGCCATAGGTGATTTTTGGACCTCTTTGTACAAAGCCGATTATCTGGGGGGTCCTGCGGGGCCTAGTACTCAGTTCACCTGCCCAGCCCGCCCTCCGCTTTCCTCCTGCCAACCTATCTCGTGGGTGCTCTCCCGGATCCCTTCCCGGGTGGGGTCTTTGCCCTTTCCTTCTCTCCTTGAGAGACTGGCTTAGGAGTCTGTGGGTTGCCTCCTACCCCACCCCCACCGGCTTCCCCCTCTCTTTGGGTTGCCGGGATTTCCCTGTTTCTTGCTTGGACGCCTTCAGGGTTTTACCCTCAGGATTTCGGTGGCTGTTCCCCCTTTTAGTCGGCAGCTTGAATCCAGCCCTTTCCCCCGCACCAGCTCCGCTTCGCTTCCATCGCCCTCGCGAGTTGGGAGACGTGGTGGGGCCGCTCCGCTCCTCCTGGCTACGACCCCCACACCAGGGCTCGGGCTCCGCAGAAGGTTAAGGCTCCGGCTATCGGATGCGCCTGGATCTTCCAACGGAGGGCAGTGGAGACCCCTTGAGGTTGGGGAGGCCTCCGCCTCGGTCCCTGCGGTCTTCCCGGGTGGCACGAAAAGCCCGCGAGTCCCTCCTCCCTGGACCAGCGGAACTCCGGCTTCTAGCTCGAATGGGGAGCGGGAAACAGAGCGTCGGAAGCTTTTGGGGTCCGGGGGCGATCCTCGGACTTCGACGCCACCGGCCGTCGCATCCTTTCCACGGCTTTTTCGGTCTCTGTCGCGTCTGTACCCTCATGTCATCGAGTCTTTTTCCGTCTTGGACTCCGTTTCTCTCTCCGCCCCTCATCTCCACCCGTGTACCCTCTCCCCAGCCCCCACCAGCGGGCGACCGGGAGGCTGTGGCGGCGCTGGCGGCGGCGGTGGCGGCGGCAGCGGAGGGGCTGCGTGGAAGAGGCGGCGGCGGCAGCCAGGAGGCGGGGTTGGTTGTTATCTTTGGTTATCTAGCTGTATGAGTGGTGTGGAGTCTTCATAAAGCTAGATAACCGAAAGTAAAAATAACCCCATACACTGCGCAGAGGGGCCCCAGAAAAGCTGGCCGCATGGACGGGCGGGGGAGGCCTAAGCGAGGGCTTAGAGACGCGAGGACCCGGGGGGCTGTGAGCGCGAGACGAGGACCCCGCGGCCCGCGCGCCTCCAGACCTCACCGGTCGGGACGACTTCCCACCCCTCACCCCGGTCCGCGCAGGTAGGAGTCGCCGTCCCACTTCTCTTTAGCCAGGGGCAATAGCTTCCCCACCCAGTCGGGGGGAGGCAAGAAGGGGGCCTTGTGGTTACCTCTTGGAATGGGGCCTTTTCGGGCAATCTGCGGATTGGGTCATTGCCAGGGAGGCTGCTCCAAGGGAGAGGTCTGTTGAAATCTAGTTGCAGGGCTGTTCGGAACAGTGCCTGGGGTTCCCAGCCCAGGCCTCTCCCGTGGGCGCCGGTGAACTATCCGGCAGGCTATCCGCAGCTATTGCTGGGTTGGGAGGGTGTGTAGGAGGTCACCTGAGAACGCTGGTCTTGCTCTGATCGCTCCCCTGAAGCCATATAGGTCTATCCGGCTTGGTTGGGAGCTGAGAATGGCAAAGCGGAGCTCGATGGAAGTGGGGCTGGAGGTACTGGGTTGGGGGGTTGCTCAAAAAGAAGACGGTGGCTGGGGAGCCTTTTGCCCAGACTGGGTTCTGGAGCAACAGAGTGCAGAGTATTTCTCAACTCCCTTGTTTCCATATTCTTTCCTCCTTCCCACCCAGGACCTGAGTCTAATGTCTTGAAAAGCTTCTCATGCCAGCTTTGTCTTCACTGACCAAAGGGGTCGAGTTGGGATCTTTCAGGACACCCCACCTTCCCACCCCATCCTCACTCTCTTGGAAATCATCTCCAACAGCAAATGGCCTCAAGGAGCTCAAACACAAAGGAATTTGTAGCTTAGTATTTATGCTGCCCCAAAAAAGCGAAGAATTAGAGAGCTTAATCAGGGCCTTTCCTAAAAGAATCCATTTATATGGCCTGACCTAAATATTTTCAGCAAAAGAGTGTTTAGGTGCAGTTGAGAGGAGGATGGCCTAGAGTCACTTGGTAGAATGACGTATAGCAAAGCTAGAAGTAGCCCCTCTGCATTTATTACCTCTCCCCATCCCATCCCCCACCCCGGGGCATTCCAGAACACAGGCGGGGCAGGAAGGGGTAAAAACAGGGCAGGAGAACTGCACAAAATGACCTTGTACTGACTTCAGTTTCCTGGGTAAATTTAAAATTTCCTCCCAGGAACTGATTTTATAGCTAGAAGATTATGATTCAATTATATATAATGTGGAAGAAATATTGGGGAATCCAAACTAAGACAATTGGGCTTCAGAGAGCCTGGAGTCCATATGTTTCCTTCCTTCAGAGGTTGGAGGAAGGAGAGATTAGCGGCCTCTTGCTTTTTCAGCTGTTTGGAATTTGGGTTTTTGGAGGGGGGCAGTTGGAGGCAGGATTAGGGAGAAAGGGAGCAGGTTTGGGGCAGGGACTAATAATCCCAAACATCACTCCATACTTCCTGGGACCAGCGCTCTGCCACCACGCCTTTCTTTGATCTTCCAACACTGTGAGGTAGCTGTTATTAACCCCATTTTACAAGTGGGGAACCACAGACTCGAATGAGTTGCTAATGTCACTCAGTGGTTTCAAACCCAATGCTTTTTCCACTACACTTGCCGGAGGAGAGGACTGAGAGGGTGAGGGAGGGAGACGGAGATGGGGATGAGTGAGAAGGGAGGGAATCAGAGCACCAGAGGAGAGGGAAGGACCACGGAGAGATGCAAGGCCTGGTTGTGAGCCTGGGCTGGGGAGTGGGGATCAGAGAAGAAGCACCAAGAAAGATAGGCCTTTTTTTCTTTTTTTCAACTTTTCACATAGCTGGTTGGAAATGCATATTTGGGATCTCCTGAGACTCATCCACTTAAGACTTAGAACCTATATTATTAACCACAATGGGTTTATATTATTATTATTGTATCCCATTAGCACGTTTGACCACAGGATCTCCGAAGGAGAATGGGAGGGCCTGAGGGAACTGGTGGGTTGAGGGTTTACACCCTACAAAACAAGCACTTCAGTGGAAAAGGGGAGCAGAAGCCAGGATGAGTGTAGGGGTGAGGGTCTGTGTCTGTCTTACGTGTACATATGGTGTGTGGGGGGGTGTCAGGAGAATGATGCATGACTGTGCTTGTGAGCTGTGTGTCTGCTTATGAGGATGAGAAACTGAGTGGTGTGTGACCTGGTATGAGATTGGATGTGTGTGATCCATGGTGCAGGGGGAGGCTCGGTTGTGAGATTAGTGATGCCTGGCTACATATAGGTATAAATCCACTAAAGGAACAGACACTCTGGGACTCGGGGGGTTTACCAAATGCAGACATCGCAGTGACACTACTGAGTCCTGCCTCCCCAAACCTTTATACCAGATAGCACCTCCTCCAGCTAAACACAGTAGGAGAGCTGACAGAATGGGGGTGCAGGGAAGCTAGGTTGAAAGGGGCTCTGAAGGGCCTCACCAGTTACCAGTTAGGAAATTTTTTCCTGTGGTATCATCACACTTGTGTCTGTGTCCAGGAACTTTTACTTCTATTCTTCAGATCTTGCAACATCCACCTAATCCCTACTGGAAACCAAATTCTAAGCTGGTTTCTTTATCCATTTCTCCCCTCAGCCCTTCATCCCAGTGCCCTCCTATTGATTTCTAAGTCCAGGAGTTCAAAGGCAATTTTCTCCTAAATGTTCGACACAAGTTTTACGTTATCGCTCACACCTTCACCTTGCAACAAATTTTTCCCAATTCTAGGAATGGAAAGGGTTTTGTTGAAAGGTCCTTACAGTCATAAGAATTGTCACAATCAGCAAGCCTAGGGAGGGAAAGAAATAGAAAGAGGAAGTGTAACTGAATGAACATTGATGTGTAGGTGCCATCATTTACCGGCTATGCAGATCTCTGAGACTCAGCTCAAATATTTGTATAATGGAGATAAGAATCTGTATCCTCAGGGTTGTTACATGGAGCAAATGAAGAATTCCATATAAAAGATCTTATAATATGTTATGATATCCTTGGGTAAGGAGTAATTCTTAGATTGCATAAGGGTTAAAGGCTACAGTTTGGAATAACTATTTGAAATCATATGATTGATCTCAGAATTAATCAAATCAAGCAAAAAGGACAGCTCTCTGGCGTATTCTTCACTGAGGATTTCAAAACATTTAAACTGAGGAAGTTCCTCCTTTTCTAGCTTTGGGAGTTGAAGAGGGACTCCTGGGACCTGGGTAGGCAATGTCTGAACCCTGGGGAGAAGAGGAACAGTCCTTGGGAAGCCTGTTAAGGGAAGAGGCTAGAGTCCAAGAGGCAGACCCGCCATTGTGTTTTTCTCCTTAATGGATCTTACCACTTATTGGTAAGAGTATTTATGATTGGTAAACTGACTTATGTAGATAGAGAAATATGGCATGTGTAAATAATTCCAAGTTTATTCCATTAAACTTCTAGAGTTACTAAAAACACAGTTTATGAAATTAAAGGACCAGTTAAGTAGTGGGTAAAATTAACGAGCCAAATAAAGACCTACCTATCAGCATGCAGACTTTTCTTCATCACTGAGTGACGTTAAGAAGGAGTGTTTTCTCTCCTCTTGCCTTCCAGACCCCCAATTCAGTTCTCGAGGTTGGTAACCCACCAGAGAAGCAGAGGCCCCTCTGTGTTCTTCTATATCTGGAAGTCATTCTTGAAGTCTGCACTTCCCAAGGTTTGGGAGGTGGGATACTGATATTTATTTCATCATCTCCTTCATACCCAATGTTCTGAGGACAGATTGAGCTTTTCATCTCCTTTCCTTTGCTACTGAGACCTCAGAGATCGTGGGGGTTATGGTGCCGTCTCATCCAGAGGCGGGGTTTGCCCACTTCCCTAGGGGATAAATGAATTTAGGTTAATGCTTTAAAATCATTGGAAGGAAAGAGTAGACAAAACTATAAAAACATTCTCGGAGCTTTGAGGACACTGAGGAGCAGGGTTATGGAAGGTAAAGGTGGGTGGGTGCATATTTAGATAGGAGAGAGATGAGAAAGAAGGGGAACCCTTCCTTGCCACCCAGGCTCTCCCAGGGCTCAAAGTGACACCCCCCCCTCCTCCTGCCCTAATCCCCCCATTAAGGCTGCTCTGAGTTTGTTATGACAGCAGCTGAAGGCAGCTGAATTGCTGTTTGCTGTGTCTGCTAATTGGACTGAAGGGTTGGAATCTGGACACTGAAAGAGACCATTGTTGCTGTTTACCTTCCACAACTGCCTCCCTGGGGACCTTCTGGGTGAAGGGGAGCAGCACGCCCTCAGGGTCATTGCACCCATTCCTTCTCTCTGCACAAGGGACGGGCTGGGGAGACAGCCCATCTCATTGCCTTGCGGTGGTTTGAGCTTCCACAGCACAGAAGAGACAAGCCCAACACCTGAGTCAGTCTCTAGGCCAGGCCTGGGGCCATCAGGAGCTCCTAGGAGAGACGAGATAACATGCTTATTCTTTTCTTCCCTATTCATTCCCTTCTGCTTCAGGTGCCCTAGCTTGCCTCTTCCTCCAGCTCATCAGGCTTAACCCCTGCAATTTTTCTTTTCTGCTTTCTTCCAGGCCAGCGATTCTCAACCCAGTTATGTACTAAAATCACCTGGGAAGCTTTTTAAAAAATACTGATGTTTGGGCCCAGCCCTAGACCAGTGAAAGCAGAGTATCTGGGAATGAGGCCTAGGCATCAATATCATTTAAAAGCTCCCTCAGTGCTTCTAAGGTGCAGCTAGGGTTAAGAACCAGATATAGGTTCATGTCTCTGCCCAGGACACACACACACACATGCAAACACACCCTTTCCTGCCTCCCCTACCTTTCCTCCCAAGCTCCTGATATCTGTAATACTATCAGGCAGATTGTGTGTCTTCACCTGTGTATCTTCCTCATCTTTATTACTAAATTCCTTGTAGGAGCCTTAGAATTTGGGATGGAATTTAGAGGTCTGTACCCTGTCAACTACCTCAACCTGAGCTCTTCCCCAAGGCCAGGAATTATGACTCCATCTCCCTGTGGATTTCTAAATAGGATCCAGATAAGGCCTGAGCTAATCTGGGACATTTAAGTTATTTGGGATGAAGGGGTGGGAGGTTCAGAGTTTCACTGACTCTTGTGCTCTTCCCCCAAAAATAGTATTGGTAATTTGGAGAGCTTCAGAGAGGAGAAACTTTCTCCAGGAATACATCTTCCCCTTTCCTTACTGTTTCCAAATGTTTCTGCTTCTTCTCTTTCCTTTAGCTTCTCACCTGGGGCGGGTGGGTGCTCCACCACCCTCCCGCCCTCTTTCCTCCACACGTGTGCCAGAGCCACATCCAGCACCACGGACAGCTCCCGGGCGGTGAGTGAGATGGCTATGCTGACCCCCTTTGGGAGGGTTAGGAGGGCGTCCTCCTATCTGCACCGTCAGCTATCAAAAACTCCAGATTTTTTAATCTGTGGGAGTTATTTGCAGGCAGCTGTGGAGTCTCAGGGAGAGGAAAAGGCTGAGGGCAGTTGACATTGCATTTCCAGGAAACTGGGTTTGTCCTCATTGGGGAGTTGGGATGAGAGGGGCCTCTCCAGCAGTAGGAAGGATGAAGGTTAGACTCAGGGAGTATTCAACCTAAGTTCATGCAAGACACAGACTGTACCAATCAGGTAAAGGTAAAATGAACCTTAGATAGCATCAGCCCTATAGCCCTCATTTTACAGATCCCAAGAGAGTGGAAGAGGTGTGACCAAGGTCACTCAGCTGCTTAGTGGAAATGCCAAGACCCAGGCTCCTGAATTCCAGCCTGGTCCTGCCTATTCTGCCTGGTACTTCTTTAGGGGTCTCCCTGCCTGAGTTGGGTGGAGCAGGTAGAGAGAGTTCACAGGTTGCCCCCATACAAAAAAGGACAGGATGCATGTCTCAGCATGTGAGGTGTCCACACAAGCCAAGAAGAGGTGGAACTGACTGCTATCTCTGTCTGAGGAGGTTTGGAGAGGAGGCCTCAGGGAGAAGCACAGGGAGAGACATACCTAGCAGTAGCTGGCAAGCCCACGGGAGAAAAGGCAAGGGGGCAGCCATCTGCTAGGGCACAGAGGCCAGTGGATGGCCACAAGGAGTCTCCAGAGGCCGGCAAGAGTCACACAAACTGGAACAGGGCCTGGGAAAGGCCCTTCTGTGTGCCCAGGCCTGCTCCCTCAACACCGTGAGCAGAGAAACAAAGGGGCCATTCTCTCTAGGATTTGATGCCGCCATCTCCGGCTGGCAGTGCCAGGTGGTGGGGGCATCAGGGGGTGTCAATCCATTATCCCCCCCTAACTCCTAGGTCCTCTGGGGCTTGATGTTGGGGAGGTGGGTGTTCCATGCTATGTTGCCATGGCAACCACCCCAACCCCCACTTTCCAAAGCACAAAGAGAGACAGCTTTCACCCCCACCCCCAGGAAGAACCTGGGTCTGGCTGGGAATCTTCCCTTGGGAATCCTCCTTTCTGAGGCACAAGCCATGGCATGCATAAGCATCACCTTTTCAGCACCCGGAGCTGAAGGTTCTGCCATCAGCAGGCCATACAAGCAGGGAGGCTGGTGCATCCAGAGTCTCTGGGCAAGGTTGCTCAAGTGAGGTTGTGCAAGTGAGGACGAGTCCCTTGTACTTAACCCTCTCTCCCCACAAGCCCTCCTGTCCTTCACCTATAGCCAAGGCCAACCTCAGCTCAACCGTCTCAGCTGAAGCAACGTGGCTTTGACCTTCTACTCTTTCCCAGAAGTGAGGGACATCCTGCTACCCCTAGCAAGCCTCCAGGCTGTGGGAACAGAGAAGAGGAGGGGTCATTCCTGCCATCCTCCATCTGCACCCTCCGCCATTACTCATTCGGCATTCTGCCCCCTCCTTCCGCTCGTTAAGCCTGATTTGCATACATTTGCATAATACAACTTATTTGCATTCCAGGAGGCTCATGGTAGGAGCCAGGAAAAAAGGGGAGGGGGGTTGTAGAAGAGAGAAAAGGGGAGAAATTTTGTTTTCATCAAAGTGTGTGCGCGCGCGCGCACGCGTGTGTGTGTGTGTGTGTGTGTGTGTGTGTGTGTGTGTTGGGGGGGAGGTGGCAGGAAGAGGATGGAAATAAAAACTCACACTACTTTCTTTCTTCCCTTCTGCCCTCTCTCCCTCTGCTGGACTAAAGTGCCAAAGAGAGATGCCAAGGGGCCGGCTTTTCTGTCCTTTTTTGTTTTGCTTCCTCTGGCCTTGGCTCCCCAGCCCGGCCCCCCACCTTGCTGGGCTCAGGCTTCAGAAAGAAAGAGGCAAGGGTAAGAGGCAAGGCTGTGGGAACGAAAGCAGAGGGAGACAGGGAGGCCGCCATCTTAGGTAGCTGGCGCCTATAAAATGGCCGCCTCTCCAGAGCTGAGAGCTGGCCTGGTTGGTGGACGTGGAGGGAGGTGAGATGTCAGGGCTTTATGGCTGACCAGGAACATTGTTGAGTCTTCCTACTAGTGAAACTGGGAAGAGAGGATGGAGAGAGAAGGAAGGAGGGAGAGATGAGGAAGGGGCAGCCCCCGAAGAGATGTGAGCCTCACACAGGAGCAGCCGCGGTAGAGAGGCCTCCACGCTGGCCTTGGTTCCAGACCCCTCCATGGAGAGAGAAGGAAGGAGGGAGAGATGAGGAAGGGGCAGCCCCCGAAGAGATGTGAGCCTCACACAGGAGCAGCCGCGGTAGAGAGGCCTCCACGCTGGCCTTGGTTCCAGACCCCTCCTGAGCGCCAATGGTCAGAGGACTTGAAGGACTGGGGGTGACGCAAAAAATACCGGAGGAATCAGAACTGGGGGTGTCAGCAGGAGGAGGGAGAGGGTAAGGTGTGGGCAGGCAGGATCATCTGCCAGTTTAGGGTGGGGGTCTCTCTGGGGCCTGTGAAGGGCCACCATGTACTTGAGGCGAAGCTCCAAGTCATCTCTCCTCAGCCCTGCAGTCCGGCTTCCATCTTCGTAACTCTGGTGACACTGTGCCCTCTCAGGCCGCTCAACCTCCTCGCTCGGACCCAACGGCCCTTGCTCAGGTCTGGTGACTTTTGTGGAACATTTCATGCTGATGTCCATCGTGTCTTCACCTTTGGCCTTTGGTTCTTCTGTGATATCCCTGATTATTCATTCTGGGTTCTCTTCTCTCAGTCCGCTGGGTTGACCAGTCCTCCAGCCAAAAGTATGTTCCCCAAGGTTCTACTGTCACCTTTGTTTTTTTCCTTCCTACTCACTTTCATTCACTTTTATCACCTCAGCCATCAGCCAAAGTTATAAACGCTCGTTCATTTCTCTAGTCTTGGCTTCTTATAAACTCCAGATTGTACCCTAACTGCTACCTGTGGTCCTGCCATTAGCTCCCAGGTCAGAGACTGGACTGGTGCATCTGATTGGCTAAGCCTAGACCCAACGCCCAGGCCCCAGCTGCAAGGAGGGCCAGGAAGGTACCTGTGCTTTTGGCTTCTGTAGTGGCATGTAAGTGCAGCCTCCCTCCGAAACTCATGAGGGGGTCATTCCCCAGACATAGGAAGGGCATTCACATGCTCCCTCACTCCGCATTGGGCTTGAAGTCTTGCCCCGTGTTCCTGCTTCCCTGCCTCTATGGGCGGCTTCATTAAACTCCCAGGCCCTCAGGTGCAAATCCTGAGCATTATCCGATTTGCCCTCTTCCTTCCCCCGATCCAAATCAGTCACATCGGAACCCACCACTTCCTCCTTTGTAGCACCTCTCATGTTCATACCTTCCTTTCCCTTATCCCTACCTCCATGTCAGCTCATTCATTCACTAGACATTTATTGAGTGCCTACTATGTGCCAGGTGCTATGCTGAAGAGGAAGGTGGAATACAAAGCTTCTTTGAGGAGCTAACCGTCCAGCAGGGGAGGCAGACACACAATTACATGGCATGTGGAGACTGCTGTCCTGAAGACGTGTGCAAAGTGCTGTGGGAGCAGGTGGGGAGGGAACTGTGGGCCACCTTGGGGGAGTTAAGGAAGGGTTCCTGGAGGGGGCCAAAATGTTGGTGATGAAAGATAAAGGGAATAAAAGTGATAAAAGGTAAGCAAGGAGTTGTCAGTCTAAGGAGTTTGAGGAAGTGGGTGGTGGAGAGTGGACAGTGTACGTGAAAGCAAGGACGTAGGGAAGAGCATGGTGCCTTAGGGGACTGGAACATCCATCAGAGGGAGTCTGGGCTGGGGGAGATGGGAAGTGGAAGCAGAAATTCCATTATTAAGAGCTTTATCTGCTCCATGAGGGAGGCTGCATTTGATGGGGATTCTGAGAAGTTAGCTGACAGCCTCAGGGATGCTGGGTGCAGGGTATGGCTGCGACAAGGACACCCGCATCTAGCTGCCCACTGAGCCCAGCACCCAACCAGACACTTAACTGGCTCTTGGCTAGTTCTGAAGAAAGGAAGGAACGTATGAAAGGCCTGGAAGCCACCTGAGGAAGAGTCTCTGCCTCTCCCCCTCCAGAACCGCCCACGCCCCACAGGTACACACTGGGCAGGCTGGTGGGAGCCCTTTGGGGAGAAATGTGGAGAAGCCAAGGTTGGTCCCCAGCACAGTGTCCCAACATCAGGACAGGAGATGGGCCACTGCGGACTGGAGTGAAGAATAGAGAAGGGGGTTCAGTCCTGAAAACTTCCTGGAAGAGGGAGTGAGGGAAGGTGTAAGGGGTCATCAAGGAGGGGGCCAAGGCTCCGGGGGGATTCTTCCCAGAAAAAGGGAGTGAAAGGCTGGAGAGACAGCTGAAGAGATGATGAGGCGGCTGCTGGCCACTGGGGTGGAGTGTAAGGGGGCGGGGGGCGGTGCTGGCTACCGCCCCTCCCCCAGGCCCAGCGTCTGCACAAAGACCTCTCTGTGAATGGCCATGGAAGTGGCCCTGTCAGGTGAGGGGGCTTAGCTCCCGGGGGCCCACTGGGAGTGGTGGAATGGGGTTGGAGGAGGGGAAGGCTGAGAGGAGGCCTCAAGCTTTAAGCAGGTTGGAGAAACAAATAGAAGCTGAGACCTGGCCAGGGTCTCACAGTGAGGCCAAGGTAGAGCCATTCCCAGGACAGGCCCCACAGGTCCCCAGCACCAAGGCCCTACTCCCGCCCTTCCCCCCCACATTTCTTCCCAGCTATAAACCCCAATCCTGCCAGGCCTCTCCAGCCTTCCATCTCCAGCCCATACACGCCTTCCCATGGTGCTTCTGGGGCTGACCCCACCCTGAACCTCTCTGATCTTCCCAGCACAGGGACTGTTGGAGTCTGCCTCCAGGGAAGGCTGTGTTGGGAGGGTGGAAAGACAAGACTGACCAGAACCAAAAAGGAGCCCTGAGGCCACCTCAGTCTCCACACCCAGTCATGTCCTCCCCAGGGGAGGTTTCTCTCCTTGCCTGGCCTCAGGGTCACTTACTGCTAATCACAGTGTGGGTAGACATTCTCCCCTACCTCCAACCCCTTGTTGTGCACACTGTCCCTTCTAATAAATGTTGGCTTTGGGGGTGCTGGAAGCAGAATGACATCAGTTACAGCCTCAGCTTGCAGGTTGCTCACAGATTTGATAGAGGGGCTCTGTCCACAGGAAGGACAACAAAAGGAAGGACAATGAAGTTTTGGTTTTTGACTCTGGAATCAGGCTGATCAGGATATAAATTCTGGCTTCCCTTTCTTACTACCTGGGTGACCATAGGCAAACCACTTAATGTGTTTAGATCCTAACTTCCTTCCACGGTTGTCCTGAGGACCAAATGGGTCAGTGTCAATGAGAGTGCTTCGTAAGGCTGTGTGCAGATGTCGTGTTAATTCTAAATGCTGAGGGACACAGAGGGGCCATTGCAGGTAGGTGGGAACAATCAGAGAAGGCTTCCAGGGTTTGGAAACGAGAGCAGGGATTGCTGGAGAGGAGAGTGAAGGGAGTCTGGGTGCAATCTATGGTGGAGCCCTGTCTGAGAAGTGTGGCTGGGCTCCGGGGACGGGCTGGAGGACTGGCTGGAGCTCTCGTGGTCTCACGCAGGCCAGCATCTTGCTAGACTGGTTTGGGAGGCATTTGTTTTTAACAACTGGGTGGTAGACTCCATGACCACAGCTTCTTCCAGCCTTCTCAGGAAGAACTTCCCGCTGGCCCTGTGCAAACACTGTCCAGCAATCCTGAGAGGAGGAGAGGGATGGAGCGAAGCTCGAGTTCCCCATGTTGCCCTAGCCCACTTTGCTCCCTCCCTGCAGCCCTCATGTCATTGTTCTCCAGAGGGAGCACTAGCCAGACATTGTGACCCTCCACTGAATGTATACAAAATGGTACCTCCAAGCCCTGCCACTTAGGACCCTCAAGTGCCTGATTTTATGGTTCCTCCGCATTGTGAGGAGGGAGCTAAATTCAGACTTATTTAGATCCCTCGGCCCATAAGCCAGGGAGACTTTGAGCACGAGGGTCTCTTGTCTCTAAGCGGTCATTCCTTGTTGTACAAGAAAGAGTCAGGAGGAGGAATGGTTTTGGCATCATCCCCCACAGGTAACAGTGGAGCCTTTAAGCCTGGAGGGAAGGACCAGGCTGAGGCTGGCATATGGAGGGAGAGCCCTGGGCACGGGGAGCATGAGCTTCACCCGGCTGGGGCTACCTTCTGCTGGGTTTGTCCATCTGGCACCAGCTGGCTTCCCAGCACCGCCCCCGCAACCAACCAGACTCCTTCTTCTGCTGTTGCCATGGCAATTGGCTGCCATCTTGTACTCGGGGCACTACCTCATATCTGGATTTTTCCCGTGGGGTTCCTGGATGATGGGAGATAGGTCTCCAGGGATGTATCCTTTCCTCCTGATATTCATCCAATAAAAATTCATATTAATGTGATTTTTAAAAATAGCCAAATTGGGGGCTGGCCCCGTGGCCGAGTGGTTAAGTTCGCGCGCTCCACTGCAGGCGGCCCAGTGTTTCGTTAGTTTGAATCCTGGGTGCGGACATGGCACTGCTCATCAGACCACGCTGAGGCAGCATCCCACATGCCACGACTAGAAGAACCCACAACGAAGAATACACAACTATGTACCGGGGGGCTTTGGGGAGAAAAAGGAAAAAAAAAAAAAATCTTTAGAAAAAAAAAAAGTAGCCAAATTGGAGGCTTGCTATGTGTCAGGCTCTGTCCTCAGTGTATTTAATTTGGCTAAGAAAGCATTAATGAGATGAAATTTAAGAGGTTCCCACTCAGTTTCCTGTTTCTATGACAGACTTTTCCTCTCTCCAACCAGGAAATTCCATGATCTTTCTTATTCCTGTCTTGGGAAGTCCTTCCCAATGTCTAACCAAGATCTGTACTGCTGAAGCACCAGTTCTTTGACCCTTGGCTTGACATGGTTAATTTGAGAGGTAAGGAAGGAACTGCCACCCAGCTTTAACGACTTTATTGGGCTTCCTGGACTCCAGCTGTTAGGACCAGGAAACTAAGACTTGGCTAGCTTGGTGAGAGGTCCAAGTGCCCCTTAAAGACTTGGGGGCCCCAAGTCTAAGACTTTTTCTTTAGAGAAGGGGAGTCAATATCACAAAATGCTTTGAAATTTCCCTTCCTTGCCCCCATCCCCACCCAAAGAAAGAGACAGGAGCCAGAGACCATTGGAAAGTGGTAGTCTCCAAGGCTTTGCGGGGTGGCCCAGAAAGCAGTCTCCCCCTCCCGCCATTGGGGAGGTTCCAACAAGGGTCCCTGAGAGATCCTGGGATGGTGAGAATTCCCTCCCTCTGGAGCTCAAGCAGAAGGCAGAGAATGGTCACCTTGACCTCGGGCATCTATAAGGGGCACTGAGCAGGGGCCAGCTTTGCTGAGGGAATCTTGAATGAGGAGCAGGTGGAAAGAGAAAGGAGGCCATTCTCAACTGAGGAAGGGTGGGCTGGCAGGGAGGGGCTGGGGATAATTTATGATATCATTGTTCCCCGCCCCACTTTCCCAGCCCCCACCCTCTTCCCAGCCCCCTGCTACTGTACCGTTGCTAGGAGATGCTCGCTATGTCAGGGGCTGGGAGGGTGGAACAGGCGGAGACTGTTCCATCTGGACTCCTCCTCCCCCACCCAGGGGAGGGCCCTGCACTGAGCTTCCTGCACCACCCCTTCCCAGGCCATGACAAACACCAGTCTCTTCTGTTGTTCCCCCAAATCCAGCCAGCCTGGGGCTAGGAGGGCTCCCAGGCAGGCGGAGGATCTGGAGCAAGGAGTGGGAAGAGTGGGAAAGGGAGCTGTAGAGGGAGAGGCTGACAGACTTAGTTGGGGCACTGAGGAACAGCTGGCTCACCTCAGGGCCTCTGGGAGCCAGCCCAGGCTGGGAAGAGGGCCAGAGGGGGTCAGGGACACAGGGCTCCAGGAGCCCAGGTTTGAGGGAGAGTCCTTACCTCACCTTTGGGGAGCTTCCAGTATAGTGGTCAAGGCAGACCTCCCATCCCAGCCCCTCCAAAGTATGGTCAAGGTCAAGGTTAGGGACCTGGCAAACATGGGGGTTGTGGGAAGGTCGGGTAGGGGAGGGGGGAGCAGGGAGGAAGGAGGTAAGTCTGGCAAGTCTGAGTCTAGGTAGGCGGGAGGTGACACTGATCTGAGGGGTTGGGCAGTGCAGGAGAGTGGCTCAGATCCCCTCCTCTTTCTGAAATTCTCTTCTCAGATTTTAAAGCCCTTGGAGAAGTGGGGTGAGGTGAACTTTGGGGGCTTCCAAAGCTAGGGCTCCCAACTCCAGATGGGGCAGGAAAGGAATGCCGTGCCCACAGCTGTGCCTCTGATGCCTGACTTCTGTGTAGCCCCTACTGACTTTATTCTTCTTTCCTAGGCACAGCTTCCCTCTACCCCAGGAAGGAAGAAACTGACTTTGATTTGGCACCCACTTGCTTGTGTAAGCCCTTTCTTAGCCATTATCTCAGTTAATCTTCCAACAGTCCTGAAAACTGGTGATGCTGTCCCCACTTTACAAAGGCAGAATCAGCCCCAAGAAGGACATGTAAGTTGCCCAGCGTCACAGAACTAGTAAGTTGGGTGGGGCTTCAGAGAGGGCTTTGCAGATCCCAAAGTATGTGCTGTTCGCTTTCCCATGCTGACTTCTGGCAGAACATGTTGCAAACACAATCAGAGGGACTGAGAGGAGAGGACCAGATAGGCCGGGGGACGTCTCAGCGTGTTCTCAGGGGAGGAAGGGGGTGCTCCTTCTCGGGTGCAGGAGTGAAGTCTGAGGGATGCTAAAACAGTCCTTGCAGGTTGAAGACGGGCCTGGGGAGGAGGCCACAGGAGCTGTAGAAACCACCAAAATCCTCCCGGGTTGGTCCCTGGCCTTGGGAAGTGTGCTCCCCTCCCTGCCTTCCTGAATCAAGCCTGGGCCACCCCCTCATCTCTCTCCTGCTTGGGCTCTGCGTTCTGCCCTGGGCGTTCCCCTCCCCCAGGGACTGGGGTGGAGCCCCTAGAACAGATGCCTAGACTCAGCCACTGACGCCCTCCCTGGAAGTTGCCCTCTGTCTCCTGCTAAGGTCTCCATCCAAAGAACCTTTTTCGGTCTTGACATTTTTTCTTTTCAGACCAAAAAGAAGAACCTACTTCACCCTTTGGCCTAGGTTCCCTCTGAGAAGCCTTCCTGGATTGACTGAAAGATGTGGCTAAACTCTAGCAAGTTGACCAGCTCCTCCAAGAAGCCTCTGAGCAGGCCAGAAGTAGGCACGCCCTAGCAACCAGCCTGGCAGCCCACTACACCCGGAGCCGCCTGGGATAAGACTTTGCTTCACTGTTGCTCCCGTGTCCACAGGCTGTCCATCCCGGCCCATCTTGGTTTCTCCTTTGTCATCTGAGCTGAGATTCTCTGAGATGGAAGACCCATCTCGTGTCTAATAAAGACTCTTGAATGTTGAACAACAGTACTAGTGGTAGTGGATGTACCTGCGCAGGGTTGGGAGGGGAGGGACTGACAGAGAGGAGGGCAGTACGGGGCTTCCTCTAAGAGACCAGTGCATGGAAGCCACCTTTGCCACAGAAGGGGGAAGCCTCGCTAAGAACTCCCACCTGTAGGGGTGGGGTGAGGAGTAAAGATCTCCTTGGCTCCTTCCACCTCTCTCAGCCACCCCAGAACACCTGGGAACGCCATCCATGATCAGGTCAGTCCCAACTCAGCACAACGGGCTGGTGCTCCCAGCCAAGGAGGCCCCAGGTGCCATCCCAAAGACCAAGACAATGGGATTGGGTGGGGTTGCTCCCCCAGAGTGCCTGTGTGGGAGGTCACTGGGTGGCCCTCTATCTCCTCCACGAAGGGACCCTTCCTCAGAAATGTCCTCCTGGGTTTGAACAGACAACAGGGAAAGAGCACCCCTGTCCCACAAAGTCACCCACTCCTGCTTCCTCTGTCCTCACTAGAGACAGAAGGGAATGAATATGCCTAGCAAGAGGGATTCAGGTTACACGGCAGGTAGGACTTCCCAACAAGACCTGGGAGGGACCCTCAGGGGTCAGGGGAACCACAGTCAGAAGGAGCTGGGACTGTGCTCTTGACCCCATTTTCCCCCCTAACACATCTGTATCCAACATGCTCCCCTCAAAGACAGTTCCCTCTCGTGCTGTAGGGAGCTCCTGCTGGAAAGTGTGAGCCGAGTCCAGATGGCTGGCACCTCTTAAGCTCTCTGCCACCCTCTAAAACGTCCTTCCTCCCATCTAACCACAATCCTTCCATGGAATTATGGTTTGAATCCCAGAATTTTTCTAAATAAAAAGGCTTAAGATAACACACATGGTACAATTCTAACAGCACAAAAGGGAAAATATGTCTCCTTCCCACCCTCTTCCCAGCCACCCACCTCTTCTCCCAAGAGGAAACCGCCAGTCCCCTTGTCCTCCCTGAGACACTCCATATGCATCCGAGCACAAATGTCTATACCCCCTCCCCATTTAAACAGTGACCACAGCATTTTTAGCTCCTCTAGGCCTCTAGCCTGAGGTCAAGAGGAACCCCAGGGGATCCTTGAATCTGCTAAAATTGCATGCAGAACGCTGGCACTGTTTCCAGGAAGAAGAAACACATTAGGAGCCACCCGGTCTAGCCCAGCTCCTCATTCCACAGAGGAAACTGAGGCCAGAGAGGGGAACGGCTGTGTCCAGCGTCCTCAGTATGGTAGAGGCCCATTAGGAGATTCTAGGCTCCCCCAACCCACATGCCGCGGAGCCCGTGTTCCCCCACAAGGACAGGGTCTAGGAGGGCTGACTGGGAGGCTGAGGATGCAGCCAGGACAAGGCAGTTGAATTTGCATCACAATCTGGCATATTGAAGGGGCTGAGCCTGTGCTCAGCAGGCCAGGCCAGTGTGTCTGAGGTTCCCAGCCCTCCTTTCAGGACCCTTTCTGCCACCGGGCCTCACAAGTACCCACTGCGGACTGCAGCCCCAGGGGTTGGTCCCTGGGGAGGAGAGGTGAAAGAAGAGAGGATCTGGCCAGGGGTCAGCATGAAGGAAGTTGCCCAGGTCAGCTCCACCTGCTTTTGTTTGGACCCCAGAGCCTGAGCATCAATCTTCATGGCCCCCTTACCCTCTGGGTGTTGGGGGGCCTGAGCAGGGAGAGGCAGCTGGCGATTGAGGCCAGCCCTCTGCTTCCACTAGTGGCCTCTTGGCTTGAAAGCGAGGCTCCTGGTGAAGGAGTTGCGGCAGGCACGAGGAGGAGGGAGGAAGGACTCCTCTGAGCACAGGAAAAGAAAGCAGGGCACCAGCGACAGCAGGTGGAACAGGAGCGACAGAGGGTGGGCTGCCTTTTGGAAACAGAAAGACCCAGACCCAGACAGGGGCAGAAGGGCTGGGGAGCGGCCCCTCTCTAACAGGGATGCCAGGACTAGGGTGGGAGGGTCCAGGCGGGACACTTTGGAATGTGCTCTTAGAGTCCCACTGAGCATATGCAGATAAGGCCTGTCTGTATGCAAATGAGACTGTCTGTATGCAGATGAAGAGAGAGGGCATTCTCTTCTCAGGGTTACCATAGAGCCCACCCCCACCCCCTGCCCTCAGGGCCCCAGCTGCAAGGCAGCCTGGGAAGAGGCCAGGCCCAGGGAGGGGCAACTTGCAATAGAAGGTTAGACTTCAGGAAGGACTTACCAAAGGAAAATGTCCAGTTCTGGGAAAGGAACTGGAGATGAAATGGGAATATAGAGAGGCTGCTGAGAGAGCCAGGCAAAAAAAGATGAGGGTGGACCAAGAAAGAACATCTCAGTCACACGGAAGCACAGGCAGAAAGCTTTGAGAGGGAGGCAGGAAGGAAAAGAACTTCGACTGAGCATCCACTCCATGCCAGGTCCCACATGGAGTGCCTTCCACTCACAGTCTCACTGGATCCTGGTGATAACCTGTGAGGCCTTCCACAGACAAGGCCTGGACAGGCTGACAGTCAAATCCACGTCACACAGTTTTCGAACGGCGGGGCCCTGGCCTGTGTGACCTTCTTGCTCTGTCCTGGCAGGTGGAGACTGGAATGGCTCCTCCTGACCTGAGGGGAGGTGAAGGGCCTTAGGGGCTTGGGGCTGTGCCTGAGTGAGGGGCACTGATACACCCCGAGAGGAACTCAGCCTGGGTCTCAGGACCAAATAGGGCCTGCAGAGGGCTGTGAACTAGCAGTGGAGACTGGGGTGGGGCTGTTGAGGGTAGTGGAGTGCGAAGAAACCAGGAGGGGGACATCAGGGGTAATACAGTGGGGGAAACTGAGGCCCAAAGAGATTGAGAGGGTTTGCCTCCTCACTCAGCAGATCCAAGTCCAAGCTGGGCCTGAACCCTGGGCACTGGGCCCCCAGCCCAGGGCCCTTCCTGGCAGTGCAGAGGCCGGGAGAGGGGGTGTCTTTGAGAATAGCCTCTCCTCTTCCTCCGGTGGCCCCCGGCCCCCCACATCCAATGGTGTAGCCAAGGCCTTTGTGGGGAAGCCGTGGGGAAGAGAGGCCCCTTGTTGGCCCATTCATCGTGCCGGAGGCTCCGCCAATGCCAGTCCCCGGCCCCGGCTGGGTTCTTCTTCCTGGGGGTGCCAGCCGGCCCCCACCCGCTGCCACAGCCCGCTCCCCAGCTCTGTCGTTTCCTGGAGCCTCAGGGCTTTGGCCCTGGTCCCGGCTGAAGGATGGCGGGGAGCCCCAGCCTCCGCGCCCCCCGCACCTCGCCTTTCACATGCTGGCACCAGAGCCGTGGGAACGCTGGATGGCAGCTGGGCACCGATGCCCGGCTCTGCCCACCCCCGGCCCGGCCAACCTCAGAGAGGGGAGAAGAACAGGCTGCCCCCAAAAAATGCCCCTCCAGGATGGGGCCCTAGAAATCCTTAGCACTAATTATGAATCTGGGGACAAACAAGGCATTTGCAAGTCAATTAGTGACAGAACTTTCCCAGGAAAGCGCTTCATCTAGGCTCAGCTTCAGACAGAGCCACATGCTGGGTCATCTTGTCCCTCCTCCTGCCTCTGCCCTGCCTGAAGCTCAGGGATAGAGGCTGGCCCAATGTTCTGCCCGTCCCTATGGGGCTGAGGGTGCCAGAGCCCTGAGTGGGCATGCGGGGCAGGAGGGCAAGGCTGCCCTCTGCCAATGTCAGCTGGAGGTCACTATAGAGCTGCCACCAGGAGACATCCTGTCAGGACCCTGGCCTCAGTTTCCACCTGCGACAGAACCTGGCGAGTTCCTGGACGGGAACTGCCAAGGAGACAGCTGGCTTGGACAGGGTGTCATGGGTGGGTTGACAGGAAAATAGAAGTCATTGTGAAAGGGCCAGGGGGAGATGCTTTCCAGAGAACAGAGAGAAACTAGGACAAGAGGAGGCCAAGGGGGAGACAAATGGTCCCAGCTCATGCTCAGGCAGGAGGCACGTAGCCTCAGGGGGTCTGCTACACCCACGGGAACTTCCGTGGACTGGCCCGCCACCTGGGGCCACTTTGCACGGAGAGGGAGACAGAGCACGTGATGTCGCTCCTCCCAGACTGGGAGGCCTTTAGCTGGGAAAGGGGCTCTCTGCTGAGAGGACCCCTTAATTGAGGGAGGGAATGGGGCCCTTCGGGGCAAAAGCCCTAGAGCCAGCCTCGCCATCTGAGAGGGAGATTAAGGGATTATAATTAAAACGCGTTTGAGGGACTCCGAGCAGGTGGGTTGGGGCTGGTGCTAACGATCTAATTGCTGCCTTTCGCTGGGCTTTCGCCTGGGCCTGGCTGCTGGGGCTCCGTAATGAGCGCGGGTTAGGGAGCGGGGGTGGTTTTTTTAAGGAGGGCGGTTGAGAAGAGGCGGAGTTGAGGGGCCAGGAGGGGAAGTCTTTTTCTTCACTTTGAACACCCCAGCTCACAGGGTCCCTGCCGGCCAGGCTCCCCCTACCGCCCTCCCTGAGAAGCCAAGAGGGAGGCTGCAGCATCAGGGAGTTAGGGGAGGCCTGGAGAAGAGTTTTCTGGGCCAGGAATGAGCAAAGAGGGTACTTGAGTCCCCACCGAGAGGGGACATTGAGACTGGGGATGTTAGGGTGTCCTCGGAATAGGGGTGTCCTTGGAACAATTATAGCAGTCAATTTTAACTGAAGATGTACTCTGTGTCAAGCATCACACTAAACACCTTATAAACATATTTAACTCTCACACCCACAGTAAAGTGGGTCTCCCCCTCCGGACTTAGACTTATCTTTAGAGCCGGGCCCAGCCCCCTAGCTCAGCAGACACCAGGAATCCCACTGACCAGGGGTGGCCCCTTTCAGACCCTTCCTTCTTTCTAGGGAGGGACAGATGGGCAAACCCTCTCCAGACTCTGAGAGACCTCAGACTGAGGGTCAAGAGCATGCAGGTTGCAGCCCAAGGACCCCCAGCTGCGAGGCCAGCCTCATCTAGGCAGTGCAGCCTCCTCTCCTGCCTCTCGTGCAAGAAGCACACAAGGGACCTGGACACA